GCGGGCTGGGCCCAAAGACCTCGGCCGACATGGAGTGCAGAGGCCCGGGCAGGCTAGGCTCGGGGCTGGGCGAGTCCCCGGGTGGGTGCGCCAGGATGTCGGTGAACCGCTGCGCCTCGCTCGACGGGTGGTGGCCCGGCAGCGGGTGCTCCAGGCCACCCAGGGGCGTACCGGACGGCCCAGACGACGGCACGAAGGGTAGGTCCACTGGCGTCTGGGCCTGCGAGGACGGGGGGCCTTGCGGGAAGAAGTCGTAGTTGCCCCCGGGCCCGTAGTACTCGCTCTGGTAATCTGCGGAGCGGCGGGGAGGGAGCAGGACTTCAGGGCCGGGCCGGGGGCGGGCGGGAGCGCCACGGAGGGAAGGCGCGCCCTCAAGCGGGCTGGGGAAGGCCATTCGCGGAACTTGCGGGCCGCGGAGCGCCCCCGCGAGCCTGGTTGCAGGGAGGAGACTGGGCGCAAGCTCCGGAGCTGCCCCTTACTAGCCACCCCCGTCATTCAAGGCCGGGAATTGGGCCCTCGGTCCCGCCGCCTCCCCTTGATTTACTCCCAGCCTTCGCCCTACTCGCCCCGACTCTCCAGTGACCCCGCGCAGCCACCCGCTTCCAGCGAAGCCCTCCCGGACCTGGCCGCGCCCCGCCAGTCGGCGCACACCCACCTCCATAGAAGGAGAAGGGGCCGTTGGGGATGAGCTCGCCCGGCTCCAGGCGGTCCACCAGCGGCCGCATCCGGCGCGGACTGCGAAAGAAGGCGTGGCGCCGGGCGCCCAGCGCGCTCAGCTGCTTCATCCTCCGCTCCTTGGAGCGCCGGTTCTGGAACCAGACCTACAGCACACGGCGGCGGCGTGAGGCCACCGAGACTCCATCCCCCGATCCCGGGGCGCTCCCGGCCTAGCCAGCACCCACACCCACGCAGGACATCCAGGCCCGGTGAACCGGATACCCAGCACTGAGCCAGAGACTCCCTCTGGCCTGGAGCTTCAGCAGTCTCACCTCCACCGCCAAGCTGACAGATTCGTGTGTGTGTGTGTGTGTGTGTGTGTGTGTGTGTGTGTGTCTCAGTGTAGTGTATAGGGTAGTGGTGACAGTGCGATCTCTGACTAGGACCACTCAGGGCGGGCCCTGAGCCAATGGTGAGCAGGAATCCCACAGAAGGACCTGGACAGGCTGCCCTGTCTGGAGTGGGGGGGCAGTTGTGGTATAGCTGGGGTTTTTCTAACAGTCACACTATCACAGTTACAGCTTCTCCGGGGCTGTACACACAGAGACACTACGCCTCTCCAAAATAACGTCAGACACACACCGAGCTTCCATTTCACGGTCTCTTGCAGCAACCCTCCCCCCAACCGTGTCAGACACAGAAACAGCCTGTGATACCAAAACCCACAATCTCCTTGTCACACCCATGCACATCTCACAGTGCCAAACATACTTATCCACAGCCTCTTGCCAATAGTGACACAGACACACAACTTCTCATCCATGCACACAGGTTCTCAGTCTCCTGCAGGACTCAGGGCCTTCCACCTGCACAAATGTGCATGTGCACAGTTAGCCTCCCAGGCTGGCACATCCACCCACACCCACGCAGGACATCCAGGCCCGGTGAACCGGATACTCAGCACTGAGCCAGAGACTCCCTCTGGCCTGGAGCTTCAGTAGTCTCACCTCCTTTCCACCCGCAGGCCCAGCTGCCTCCAGGAGGCCTCTCCTCCCTATTTCACTCCAAACTGCTTGAAGCAGAACTGATTCTAGGTGGAACCACCTCTCTTTAGAGGGGAAGTCCCTGATCTGGGGCTTGTCTAATTGAAGCAAGTGATCACAAAGCTGGAGTTAGAAGGAGTTCACTTTGTGCAGAAGGCAGAGGAACTGATTGACTCTGGTGGACACTGGGACTTCTCTGACCCTTCCAAACCCGAGTTTGGGGTGGGGTGTGTGCAGAAAGAGAGGTCCCAGCTCTCTCCTGAGTATCAACAGCCTCTGGCTGAGCTCCCATCCCTCCCCCTCCACTGCCACTATCGCCTCTGTTGGGCTGGGAAGAGAGCTTTCTAGATGCTGGAAGGCATCAGGCATTTCACAGGTGCGGCAGGGTCGGGATGTGTCTAGACACCCCACCTCCAGACTCCATCTCTCACTTCTCTCTGGATTCTGGGCCCTCCTGGGCTCGGCCTGGGTGCCCAGAGTGGCAGTGTGGGCCTCTGTGGGATGGAGAGGCTTGCTGGGGCCTGACCTGAATGACGCGCATGTTGAGGCCGGTCTCCTGCGCCAGCTGCTCGCGGATGTGGCGGGTGGGCTTGGGTGTAGCAGCGAAGGCGGCTTTCAGCGTCTCCAACTGCTTGGCTTTGATGGTGGTGCGCGGTCCCCTCCGCTTGGCGCCCAGGTTCTGGTCGTCATTCTCGTTGCTACCCCCTTCCTTGTCTGACACGTTGGCACTCTCCGAGTCCTTGGCGTCGTCCTGCGACGGGTCTTGGGAATCCGGAGACAAACTGGGGTCACTGCCGGTGGTGGCTGAGAAGAGGGAAGGGACAGGTAAGCCCGGGCCTTGGCGAGCCTTCCTCCCCCAGGACCCGCCTGCCCTAGCCAGTCGGGAATTGGAGCCTCACCCGAGTGGAGGCTGTTCTCTTTGGCAACACTGCTGTTACTTAGGTAATCCTCTTTGCAGACGAACTTGTTCTCGTCGATGATGTAAAGCTCCTCGCCGGTGGAGAGCTGCTTGTTACACATCATGCAGGTGAAGCAGTTCAGGTGAAACACTTTGCTCCGCGCTCTCCGCACCAGGTCGCTAGGGGAGATGCCCTGCGCGCAGCCCGCGCATTTGGTACCGAAACACCTGCAGGGGGGGCGAGGGCAGGGGGGTGTCAGCCAGGGACAAGGGGAGACAGACGGGGAGAAAGATGATAGCGAGAGAGGGGAAAGATGTCCAAAGTGGAGGAAGTAGGAGAGGAGGAATGGAGCGGGGAAAGAAGGGAAGAGAGAGAGAGAGAGAGAGAGAGTGGCAGAATTCCGATTAAACAGGTGAGGAGGCAGCAGGAGAGAGAGCGTGGCACCAGGGAAAAGTCAGGGAGGAGATACAAGCGGTTAGAGCCAGGGGCCCAAGCTACCCCGCAAGCCCCAGCCTCACGCCCAGCCTCATCCCAGGGGAAAAGAAGCATCGTCTAAAGAAGGTGGCAAGGCAGTGACCTGTGAGGAGGGGAACAGGGGACACTTATTTTCCGTTTAGATTCAGAAAAGTCAAATTCTAATTAGAGCTCCATATAAACGTGCCCGAAGCACCGCTTTTCTCTCTTTCATCGCAAAAGGACCCGTGTACGTGGGGATGGTGAGGTCTAGTCCCGCTGTGGGTAAACAAACATAGCCGCGGAGAGCCCCCCACCATGGCTATGGCCGTAGGGGCCTTAGAGCCCCCCCCCCCCACGCCCCGCCGCCACGCGCTTGCCTAAAGCGGGGCAAGTTGGTGAAAGCGGGAGCCACAAGAGCTGGCTCTGGGCGCCCTGCAGCGGGTTGCGGAAGCCAGGCCTCAGGGACCCATTGGCAGCAGGTACTACGAGTACTGTTTGCCACCCTCCCTCTATGATCAAGTCATTGCAGAGAAAACCCGGAGCAGCCCGCGGAGGCTCAGAGGATCAGTCCATGCGTTCTCCCCAAACACCAGCGAGCACGAAGCTTTGCTCCACGGTCCACCCAACCCAAACCCAGCCACGAGTCCTGGAACAGCACTGGGGATAGGGCGCCTTGGCGCTCTGAGTGGCTTTGAATTCCTCTTCCTCCCTGCTCCCTGGTTTGAACTATGATCACAAACTCAGAAAAGCAGAAACCCCAAGTCAGCCGAATAAACTGAGATTTCACATCCTTTGGGTGAAATTACAATTTGCATTTGCGCCTGTTCTTCGCTGCTGACTTATGTGCTTGCGTGGATGGAGCGGCAAAATTGTGAGTGTAACGTAATATAATCAAAATGCTAAACGGATAGGGGGAGTAGAGAGAAGTCTCCCCACCAGCAAGCTGGGGGTCTCGGCTTTCCCCCAGGTTTCAGCAAGGAGGGTGCTGGCTGTGGCTGGCAGTTCCTAGGAGGGCTACTGAGCGGAGCTCGCGCGAGTCGGAGTCGCCTGGGGCTGAAGCCGAACCACTGGCCAATTTCGGCAGCCAGGGAAGCAGGAAAAAACTCCGGACGCTTCGCAGGCTACAGTGCAGCAATTTGCCCAGGTCTGCACTGGGAGGCAGGTCCAGGGTTGGGGAAGACCCCCCAGGCGTTCAGGATCTGCCTTAAGGCCAAGGTCTTTCCTGCCGCGGACTGGGCAGACACTCCACGCAAAAGGTTCTGCGCTTCCCGCCAAGACCGCTCAGGGTGGGAAAAGATAGTGGCTGGGAGCGAACCTGGGCTCAGCCTGGAGGGCAAACAACCCCGAAGGCCTGGAGAATGCAGTCGCTGCAGAGCTTGGCTCGGGGAAAGACAGCAGTCCGGGCTACGACGCCTGAGGCTGCCCTGTCTCTTCCAAGCTTGATGGGGCTTCTGGGCTGAGGCAGGCTCAGACCCTTTCTTCCTAGGCACGTACGTGCAGCCAAACCCAGATCCATAGTTTCCAGGATGCGAGCAGGGCCGCGTCCCGGGCTCCCAGCGCGCCAGCTGGCGGAGAGGCGGGCGCCCGCGGGACTTGGCTGCCCTCTCTAGAAGCAGCTCCTAACTGGGCGGCGAGGCCACGCTAACCTCTGATCCGAAGCTGGCTGGGAAGGGCCCGCGGGGAGGCAGCAGCAGAGGCGTGGGAGGAAAGTACTCACCGGAAGAAGTCGTTCTTGCAGTAGAGTTTGCCTTCCCTGGAGAAGCACTTCTCGGTCAGGTTGCATTTACATTCACAGCACTGGACGCACTTGACGTGCCAGGCCCTGTCCAGCACGTTCAAGAGAAAGCGGTCCAGGATGGGCCTTTTGCAGCCGGCACAGTGAACCATGGTCTTTGGTTTGGTCTGATGAGGCCCAGAGAGAGAGGGGCAAAGTAGAGCCCGGGGAATGACTCCTGAAGACAACCGGCACGAGCTCCCCAACCTCTCCAAAAAAAGGAGACACACTCGGCCGAGCAAGCCAAAACCCGCACCCGGAAATCAAAGTAGGGGGAAGGAAACGAGGCTGATCGGGGGCCGGGGGCGCCTCGGTGGAGTGTGCAGCCGGGGAGTCCCAGGGCCCCGGGGCGGAGCGGCGCCACCTCAGCTCCCGGGACGACAAAAAGAAGTCTCAGGCGGGCTAGAATCCGACCCTTCTGCCCAGAGCCCGCGGAGGAGTGAAGGTCACCGAGAACGGAGGCGGGAACGGAAATAAATAAATAAAAACGGAGAAGAAGAAGACGACTCGGCGAGCTCGGGTTGCGAGGAAAGCGCCGCTGAGTTCTCCCGGGCTTGAGGTAGAGCTGTCAGAAGTCAAAGTGCATCTGCTTTTGTCGGGGTGTGAGGGCGAGTGTGTGCGTGCCAGGCTGCCCACCACTGGGATTTCCCCCTCTTTTTTAAAAAAGAAAAAGAACAAAAGGAGCAGAGAAGCTTTGGATCCTAAACTGCCGGCATCGCACCGCGGGTCCGGACGCGCCGAGGGCCCGCGCTGGGCCTGGGGGAGGGGGCGAGGGGAGACCGCGGAGAGGAGGGAGAGAAGGGAGGGTGGGAGGAAGATCTTGTTGTTGCTTGCTGTTGTTGCTTAGGTTTCCCCGCTATTGGAGAAGTGTTTGTGTCAATCGAAAACAGAGAGGGACGACTCCGGGCGGAGGTAGCCAGGCGCACTCGTTCCTTCCCTACCGCCCCAGCCCAGTCACCTCGGCCCCTAGCCTGCCTGGAGGCCTCCGTGTGTTCAGGGCGACCCTCCCTGCGCCCGGGCTCCTTCGGGAGGCACTACGGGCTGGTTTCTCACCGCGCCTGGCCGTGCATCGTGGCTCCAGTCGCAGCTCGCGGCCGCCTGGGCGCGCAGACCCGCATCGCTCGGCCCACGCTCCAGCTGCCTCCGTCTAACCCCACAGTCGCTCGACTTTCTGTCCTTTTCCTGTTCCCCTTCTTTTTTTCGTTGTGGTGGCAAACCTGGGTTTCCTTTCTAGCCTCCTTCCTTTTTTTGTTTTTCTTTTGCAGCGGGAGGAGTCGGGGAGGAGGGGGGCAGCTTGGAGAGCTTTTTAAAAAAATGTCCTGGCGCAGCAGCTACAGTAGGCCGGCGGCTGGAACGGCTCGGCGCCGACCGCCGCTATCGCCGCCCGGGCCGCGGCTAGTTGCTGGCCCTCCCCGGGCGCGCGTCCCTCGGTCCCTGGTCTCCTGGCCCAGTCGCCGCCCCGGCGCGTCTCACCCCAGCTCCGGCGGCTCGGTCACTGCTCCTGGCTGTTGGCTGAGCTCTGGAAGCCCCCTCGCCTTAATGCAGCGCCCGCCGACGTCACTGCGGCCTGCGACCAATCAGCGCCTCGCGGTCCCTCTGTAAACCATTCTGCATCCCCCGGCCCGGGAGAGTGCGCGGAGACCGCGTTTAGAGGATCAGTGGCGGCGGCACCCGCGGCCCCGCGCGGCGCGGACAGCGGGCAGCACCGTGCCTGGAACCCCTCCTGCTCCGGTAAGGCGTCGGTTTCGTCGGAAGGGACAGAGAGCGAGAGGGAATCATGCGCAGGCAGAGGCCAGAGTTCTGCTGCAGAGTGGGGATAGTTCAAGACCAAGGCTTGTGGAAGGCTGGGGTGTAGCAGGGTCCGGAATCACAGGCGGCTCCGCTGCACAGGTGGGCTTTGCGATTCAGCGGCTGTTGGTATTGTCCCCCTTTTCTTTCTTGACCTGGAAGTTTGTCCCAGGCACAGCGCACATCTTTGGAGGGGGAGGAGGCGATTAGCTGCGGAATCTCCCTCCTCCCGTCCTTCTTTCTATGCCCCCTCCCCCAATCCATCCAAAGTCCACAGGGTCCGAGTCCTGGGCGAGCTGAAGGTCTTTCTCCCGCAGAGCACTCTCGCAAAGTTGATTCGGGCGGTTTCCTGGTGGGGGTGGGGAGACCGGAGGCGCGGCGCTGGTGTGGGGGAAGGAGTGGACCGGGAAGCGCCTCGGGCGAGGAGTTGCAATCTTGGCGAGAAAGTTGTGAGAAAACTGTGATCCGGAGACACCTCTAACGTACAAAAACAAACGACTCTGCGGGAAACCGGGGGCTCCAGCGGCGGCCGGGGGTGGTGATCGTGGTGATGGGAAGAGGGGAGGCGGAAGGGGGTGCCGGGACGCCAGGAAGAGGCTACAGGAGATGGGCGTGCAGTGCATGGGCAGCGTGTGCCCGGCTTCCAGTCCTCCCCTGTCCAGGCTTCGGGTTAGCACCGGCTTCCCCAGAGAACAGCAGACCACACCCTCCATACTTCACTCCTGGGTGAACCCGAAACTCCCTAATCCCGCTCTGGCTGGGAACTCCGGACCGCCGCCCCTGGGGGTGCATTTGCTCAGAGGTGGCGGACAGATCCTGGTCTAGAGTGCTTTCGCCTGGAAGAGTTACTCTAGTTCTTCGGAGCACTCAAGTCAAACCCCAAATTCCGTTTCGACCACAGCTGTTCTGGGTGGGCTTAACCAGGATTTCTCCTGAAGTGGAGTCTGAAGGTGGTTGGGCTGGGCGGTCCGACTTTTGCCCCCCGTTTTGGTGTTTCGGGGGAGGGGGTGCTAAGAAGGCGCATTTGGCCCGAACATGGAAGGCAAGGAGGGTGGGTGTCCCTCCGTAGCTGGCTGGTATTGTGGAATCGGCCTTTGGACCCCACTCGCGGTGCGCAGACCAGACGGAGGCTGAAATGGGGGAAATGCTCGAGGAAGCGCAGTCGCAGTGACCCCGGGCTGGCAGGGAGTCCCGCTGTGCAGATGGAATACCCTCTTCAGACGAACAGGGAAGCTGCTACAGCGAATCTGGCTTGCGCTCCGTGGGACCGTGGGGTTTTAGGGCTCTGCCAACGCCCCTTTGCTGACTCCGCCCGCACCGCCCAGCAACCCCGAGGCCCACAGGCAGCCCCCGCCTTGCCGCCGGCGTCACCAAGTCACTGGAAACCGAAGCCGCAGAGACCTGCAGTGCGACTCGTTGGCGTTCTGCCCTGACCCCTGGGTGCCGGGACCCTGACGCCTTCTCCACACCTTCTTGCATATACAGTTGTGGGCTGCCAGCTGCGGGCCGGAGGGACGCAGGGAACTAATCAGCTCCCGCGCGCCGCCGGTCTCCGCTGATCTCTCCCAGGTCCCGGTGCACCGAGAAGACGGTTCTCCGACCTAGCGGGCGGGCTCCGCGGGCTCGGACTCCGCTTCGCGCTCCTCCAGCGGACCCGGCACTTCCCGGCGGAAGCCGACCGATAGTAGGAAGGATTCGGGCATCCCAGGAAACGCCAAAAGAAGCCGTATGGCACGGGGTCTTCACTTCCTCCGCCCGGACCCCCAGGCGCCTCCCAGCCTGCTGAGCTGCGTGAGGCCTGCGGGGAGGGGGCCTATCCAGCCCGGTTGTCCTCACCCTCCTCCGGTCCCCGCAGCTGTCCTGGTTCTCGCCGCCAGCGCCTTCGACCCAACCGCCCCTTTTTGGAACCTATAGTAGCCCCAGTCCCGGGTGGCTCGCCTCCGCCCCCGCCCCAGCTGGGCTCCTTCTCATGCAAAGCAGAGGGGTCACAGTGGAGTGTGGGGCGGTCAGTGGGACCTACCGGGCGACAGCTGGAACCGGCTGCCGGCCCTTCCTCAACCCAAGGCCTGTCGCTTCCCTCCGGTGGGCAGGAGGGGGTTGCCCCAACCATTTGGGGGTGCAAGAACCTTGGGAGCTAGGTGTTGGGGAAGGAAGGCTCTTCCCCACAGGCAGACCAGCGAGGCAGGGGAGTTGAGGGTTAGCACAGGACGCTCGCTCTAGGGCGTCAGGCTCTGTTCGTCCTGTTGTCCAGATGGCTCAGTAAACAGGCCCGCAGGAGCCAACCCTGGCGTCTACAAGGGGTCCGGGAGCGCTCCGCAGAGTGCGCCTCTTGCCTCCTGATTCTAGGTTTGGAGTCCAGATTTAACTCCTCCACCGGGACAGCACAGTAGACTAATGGTGGGTTTTGTTTTGTTTTCGTTTCCATTGAGCTTTCATTTTAAAACATAATCGGTCGCAGGGACATGAAGAGAAAACTGACCAGTCTTTCTCAATTCGCCATCTCCGAAGCCGCTCAGCTCAGCTCTGCATTTAAGCCGATGTCCGTTCAGCGAAGACCACCAACCTTCCCCCTCATCTTCGCGGCCACACTTACTGTCTGCATCCTCAACTACACAAGCGCATTCCTACTCAACGTCCTCCAAGTCCCACAGCCCCACAGCCACTTACACCGCCCGGGACCGGTACATTCTGGACCAGGTGCTGAAGGGGTCATTTTCACTGATAGCTCAGTGATTGCAGAGTCCTTTCCACCCTTCTCCCAGGCACCCCCGGATACGGCCCCAGAGGGCCTAAGAGGTGGCTTTCACAGTCTAGGTTTCTCTTCTTGAGAAGCTCCTTGACGATCCGGGTCAGAACCCGGGTTGGAGAGGGTTCTGTCAGCCCTCCCCAGCTGTCCTGCAGTTTGGGGAGCCTGAAGGTGCCCCGCTCGAACTTCCACCTCCTTTCCTTCCCCGCCCCCCATACCCCTAGGTTTCAGATTGACGCTAGGCACTGGACCGAGCCTGCTCAGTCACCCTCGGCTGCTATAGATTCCGAGGGTGGTGGCCGCCCCTGGCCATTTCCCTCCTCTCCCTTCGGCTCTAGACCCAGCCCAAGGCCCAGAAAACAGTGATGAGACCCCGCAGGGAGGTGCCTGGGGCGGAGCCGGCTCCAGGTGGTTACCCCATGCTGAGTACACACCCAGCTACGCAGTCTCGGAGGAGGGAGGAAGGAGCCAGCCCGGAGCACCTCGGGACTCTGCCGGTCCCAGAGGCCACGCAAACTTTGCCCAGACACAGTGAGGACGAGGTAATGCAACGCAGGGAACCGCATGGACGGGGTCACTCGGATCTGAGCACCAAAGTCTCCCTCCTTTCCTTCCCCTGTAGTTCTCTCCGGACTTAAATGCCCTTAATTTCACCTATCACTCTCTCATGGAAATGATCTACTCCTGTGCAGTACTTTAGAGTTTGTATCACGGTCTCCCCTGAGCCGTATAGCAAGGTGGTGGGGCGGAGGCTTGGAAGAGAAGGGTACTATCTCCACTTTCCCGGCCAGGAAGCCCAAGGTAGAGAGCTTGCCTGAGATTCCTAGGTCATCGCACTATTTAAGGTGAGAAGTTGTGGGGGTGGAGCTTGGCCCCTTCCTCCAGTGTACACTTTGCGCCTGGCCCTGTTTTCTAAGCAAGGGGGGCTTGGGCAGGTTAAGGGGGAGCAGGGACCGCCGGACCGGGAAAGGGCAGCATCCGGCAGCCCAGTGCGTCACGGTGTGTGCCTGGCCTGGGTAAACAACTCGGGCTTCCCACGAGCGCTGGGCGTGGGGTGGGGCGGGAAGTGGAGGGCGGGGAGGCAGGGGGCAGGCGGAAGAGCGAGGTCAAGCGTGGAGGTCCCAGATGCAAGTCAGCTCCGCGCCACGGAGCAAAGACGCGACGTGGATAATCTCGAGAGGGAGAGGCTGAGCTGAAGAACAGAAGAAAGAGACAGACGTAGAAGTGAGGAGAGAGGGACAGGAAAAGAAAATAAAGGCAGAAAACCAGGGAAAAGATGAGATGGAATGCGGAAAAGCAGGCGCGGATAGAGGAAGGAGACATCTGGTCACGGAAATGCGGAGAGGAGTGGAGGAAAAAACCAGAAAAGAGACCCAGCCACGAAGAAGGCGGCTGGGACGGGAGCCGAGGGTCCTGTAGGCACGGAGGGGGCGTCCCGCGGGTCTGGGGGTGTGCGGCTTTGGGACTGGCGCGCGTGCGGAGAGAAGGAGGCAGCGTGTTTGGTGGGAGACCGCGCCCGTGGAAAAGCGGCTCTGGGCAGGAATCCAACAAATAAAACGTCTAAGACGGCGTGACAACAATGTGTATTTGGGTGCGTGCCCGTGTTCCTCTGTCTGAACACACACCCAGTAAGGAAGACAAACGGGGCTTGTGCCTCACAGTAATTAATCCTCTCACTAATTGACTCTCTTCCCTTACCTAATGGCGGTGGTCACTGCTGATATCTGGAGAGAGATCAAGTGCGGAGAGATAGAGAGAGAGAACCCCAAAGCTAACGACCTTTGGGACTGGGATTGAGTTTTTTTCTGGACTTGGCAGCTCTAAGCCCTGCACCCCCCCCCCCCCGACCCCATTTGGGCAGAGTTCCATAGATGTTGCTGCCTTCCTTCCCCCTCCAGGTTTTGGGCAGCATTAATAAAGGGTTAGGGTGCTGTGGTCACACACTGAAGCCATTCTACTGCCCTCCACCTGGGGAGATCAGTTTCAGAAGCTGAAAGGTGCCCCTGCCCCTGGGACATTTCTCACCCCCCTGCAATACCAAAGCTCCTCCTCCCCTGTTGTTCCCCACAGGGGCCCAGACCCTGCACCCCCTTCTTTCAGACTTGGGTTGAGAGACACAGAAGCACAGAGGGGCGCAGTTGCCACCTGGCAAGAGGGAGGCCTCCAGGGACAAAGGCGGGAAAGGTGGGCTCTATGCACTTTGGGAAGGAACACCAAGTGTGTGAGAGGCAGGAAGGTGGGCATGTCTCTGTGACTGTGAGGGCAACAGTTCTGGTCTCTCTGTGTGAGTGCAGGGAAGGCCCCCTATGTTCCCTCACAGCATCCTCAGTTCTCAGGACTGGGGAGAAGAGGCAGGAGACTGGCCTGGGACATGATGGTCCCCTGGGTAGCTGAGTTGGCTGGAAGGGGCCCAATGCCCACAGTCTGTCTGGTAATGCAGCTTTGAGGCTTGGGTTTGGGAAGTGAATGTCAACTCTCACCCCTGCCAGGTGGCAGCTTTGCTCTGCTGGCCTCCTCAGAGGCTAAAGAAAGAAATGCTGAGATCTATTAACCACCCAGCCCAGAGAGAGAAAGGAGGGAGGAAGGGCAGCTCCCTGGAAAAAAATCCACTCCCCCCACCCACTAAACACATTTTTAATTGCCCCTTGGGAACATTTGTACATTTGACCAAAGCAAATCCCCAAGCAGTAGCAGCAACATGAGTCATAGGGGCTGGTGGTCCAGAGAGAGCTGGGGGTCCAGAGAAGGGGAGGTGAGGACAGGTGGCGGGTATGGGTGGGAAGGTGAGAAACTTGCCTCCTTTCTCACCGTCTCTCTCAAGCTTTAGAAAGAAAGTGAGCAAGAGAAATAAAGTTCCAGAGGAAAGAAAGAGAAGGGCATATAAAAGGCAAATCCAAGCCAGAAAGGAAAGAAAGTGAAGAAGAAAGAAAAAGGCGGGGAGGGGGGAGAGACTATAATAGAAGAGGGTGAAGGCGGCCCCAGGAGGCTGGGCCTCGTCCCAAACCATCCGTCTTCATTGTCTCCGTGTGTGCAAAGGCAACTCTGGCATAAGGAAAACCCACTATTGGAGCCGAGGCTTTATTTTATATCCTATACATCAGGAGGGAGGCAAAGCTTTATTTTCGCCAAGAGACAGATATTTTATTTCTCTCTTACGGTTTTATGTGTGAGAGATGTCAGGTTACCACAATGGATGGCTAATGCATAGGCAAGAGGAAGCCGTGTTGGCATGCTGTGTGTCATGGGGTCTTGGGGGGGTGAGCGGGCCTGGGATTTAGGGCTGATGGGACACTCTGGGGGATTTCTGCTAAAACATCTCTCTTCATAAATCCAGAAGCATGGTCAGCTCAACAGGGAGAAGAAGGAGTTTTAGAGGGAAAAGAGTTGGGCTTAGTAATAAATGAACACACAAAGGAACCGCTTACCTTCCAACAGGCTCGGGCAACAGGGGCACGACAGCCCCATGGAAATACAGAGGCCCCTGTCCACGCACAAGCGCCATTCAAAGGGAAGTATTTTCCTGACAGAATCCCAGCTCAGTGTTCTTTCCTTTCCCCGTTTTATATTTTTCCACCCCCACTTCACCAGAAATCTTTTTTAACCTCCTCAGAGCCTTGGGGGAAAAGACCCATTAATTTGCAAATCATCTGATCTGTGAAAGGATCAAGATGCCTGGTTTTCACTGCTAAATCCAATGTCTTGAGTGGACACATAGGCACACACAAGCCTGTCATGCTGCCAACCCTTGGGAGCATAGGTGCCAGATCTGAAACCAAGAAAAGACTCCCTCTCCTCCTGGGACCTGCAGCCAAATTAAGCCTTAGATTCCAAACTGCATAATGTTCATATTTTTAAACCTGGAGAGAAGTGGGGAGATGAAGGGGGACAAAAGAGGGGGAAGTTTGTTAATTTACATGTTCTATTCAGGACTCAGACTAATTGTCTTCCCCATTCCCAGCTGCCCCCCTCAAATCATTTCTTACAGGAGTTGCTTTTATTCATTCTCATGTCCTATTCTTTTCATTTTTGGATTAAAATCTACTTGTTTAGTATCTACTGCGGAGCAAAAATGTGACCATGCTCTTTCTGTCTTGTCAGAGGGTCAGAAGCAGCACAGGATTCCTAGACAAGGAGCGCGGGGACCTGGCTACGCTGTCCCCGGCCTTTGGTAAGGGCATTTATTCTTTCCAGCCCTCAGTTGTCTCATCTGTAACATGAAGGGGTTCGGCTAAATGATTACTGAGGTCCCTTCCAGCTCTGACCTCCTCTGACCGAATGAGATAATGTGTGAAAACACTTTGTGCACACTAACACTGGACGTATGCCAGCGATCGTTATTACGATTCTAATCAATCCTCTTTTCTCCACATGGATCCTGGCTGTTTAGGGCCAGCAAGCAGGCTAAAGAGAGCTGAAAGTGAGAAAGCTTAGCAGAGATGGAAAAGATCTGTGCCATGGACGGGAAAAAAACCCTGCATCTCCAGAAACACTATGTCTCTGTGTGCTCCCTGAGGCCTAGTGGGAAGGGTTGGGGAGGAGAAGCCTGACTTGATATGACCCATTTTGGTCTACATGGTGGCAGAGTGTGTATTTCTTCAAAAGCATTGTTGGTCTCCAAGTGACTGACATGGGAACCTGATGGGAAGGCGATTTGCAATTGTTTTTTTCCAGGAAGAAAGAAAGAGCAAGGTATAGCTGATTAGCAAGTTAATTATTTCAGTACCCCAAGGGTTCCAGTGTGGTGGTAAGTTGTCCAGCCCTGGTATAATTTCACAGTCCATGCATTTCCTGGTGAGCACCTGGGGTGCCTGAGTCTGTCTCTTTCTCCATCCACCTGCCTTGTCTCTTCCTGACATACCTGGAGAGATGAGCAGGGGCTGGGGAGGTTGATGGTACAGGGTACACATTCGGCTTCGGCTGCGGGTGGGGGCCGCACTGAGAACAGGGTGGAGGAAGCCCAACTGATGCCATCTACCTCCGCTGAGTGTTTAATTATCTGGCCCTTTCTTCTTTTAAAAAACCTTTTGTTTAATAAATATTAATGAGCCGGTTATCAGAAAGTGGAGTTGCCGAGAGGTTATTTCCCCAGTCTTAGCATGGAAAGAAACTGGGTTTGAGGAGCCTTTCGGCCCCTCACCGCCTCCTACCCTTGCCCCTAGCTTTCCCATGCTTGCGTTCGGCAGCAGCTCCTCCAGTCTGACTTCAAGATTTGATTTCCCCTTGGGGGAGGGTGAGGGAGGGAGGATTGTGTAGTCAAATGGACACTTCCCTCAGAGAGAGAAGTTGGAGATGTGAACGTTAGCCTCAAGAATTAACAGCCTCTGCTGCTCTCTGCTCCTCTTGGGGCTGGGAGGGCCAGCCCCTGCTGCTCCTTCTGAGATGGATGAAGGGAGGGCTCCACAGTTTACTTAAGAGTGGTCCCATCTGCTTGGACTGGCCTTTCATAAGGGGAGGGATTTATGCAGTGTCCTTGTGCACAGACCTGGGATTTGGCTGAAAACCTTGGGCCTCTGAGAATATTACTGAACACTAAAACGTTCAGCCATGGAGATGATTCATGATTTTGTCTGCATGGACAGGGTGTGTGTGTATGTGCGTGCGTGTGTGTGCTTGAGGGGTGCACGCACACTGATGGGTGCTTTTCACCGTTCTTACTTTGAATCCAAATGTTAGGAAACTTTTTTTCTTCTGTATTCACTCAGGAGACAGCCCATGGCACCAGGCTCTGGAGAGCCTTCTTCCTGACTTCAGCGGGGTGAAGATGATACAATACTTTCTGGTGCTGACATTCAGCTGTCCCCCAAGCAGGTTGGCTGATAGCCCTGCAGGTCCTTGGAGAGGGGCCGGGGGCTGTCTAAAAGATAGCTCTGATGACTGCTTATTGCTGGTGGCAAAGGATTTGGGGCAGGGGGTGGAGTAAGTCCAATTGCTGTTTAAGTTGGACTTGGCCTTGTTTATTCACAGTCCTAAAGGGTCTCCATAGGAGAAAAAATTGCGGGAGAAACTTAGAACACAGAAAAGAAAGCATAGGAAAGGGTTTCTTGTCTCAATCTTGGTAGTGCTGTAAACCCAGGGATGATTACAAACAGATCCTAGGGGCCGGGTGCTGTGGCTCGGGCCGATAATCCTAGCACTTTGGGAGGCCAAGATGGGAGGATTGCTTGAGGCTAGGAGTTCGAGACCAGCCTGGCCAACACAGTGAGACCTCATTTCCAAAAATTAAAAATTAAAAAAACAAAACAGATCCTAGGGAACAGAGCTTTGAGGTTCCCTGTGTGATCTTGGCCTGACTCTTGGGAGATAAAGAAGGTCCTTGGCAAGTTTGAAAAGACCTACAAGTGCCATCTAGTCAGGGGACTAAATGTGATTTCTCTTTACTGCTCAGGGGCTGATAAGGAAGGAAGCATTTTACATTTTCAGCTAGTAAGATGGTCATTGGTAGTCCTACCATCTTGCTCAGGTTCAAGTTTGGTCTTGTAGATGAAGACCCCAGCTTCTCCAGCTCTTAGTTTTTCTTTTCCTTCAGGCCATTCATAATTTAGCTAACATTCTAGTCCATTGGCCAGCATGAATTTTGAAAGGTATGCTGGCAGGCCTGTAACTGCGTGCAAGGTTATTCTCATTTAGGCTCCAGGAAGGATATAGTTTCCCCGTAAGAAAGAAAAGTGGGCAAGAGGCTGAGGTGGGAGGTCACTTGAGTCTGGGAGGCAAAGGTTGCAGTGAGCTGAGAATCACACCATTGCATTCCAGCCTGGGTGACAGAGTGAGACCCCATCTTAAAAAAGAAAAGGAAGGAAGGAAGCAACCATTTCTATGTATCTTTTAATGAAGGATTTACCAATTTGATAAGTACAATAAGCACAATGCTCCTTTTCCTCCTTCTGAATGAGTAACTATGACAGTCAATGTGAAAGTCTGCAGAATCTATAAAAAATGCTTTCTTTGGTGTCTTAGTTTTAACACATGCTGGGGCTTGGGCCTGCCTCTGACAGACTGGGGAGGAGTAGACACATTCCAGAGACCAGGTCATGGAGTGTTATCTCTTCCCCCACCTCAAATCCTCACCCTCCACTTTATCTCTCTTTAGCATGAATGCAGAGACCCCCTAGGGAAGTGTGACGGGATGGGCTTTAGGCAGGTTTGGGGAAGGAAGGGGAATAAGATGAGCCCCAAAGAAAGATGAGGCCACTTGGAATTTTTAGACGACGCTCTTTTGTCATACTCCTCCTGTGTGTGTTTTATGTCCTACAAATTGTGCATTTGTTGCAGTAAACCATAGTGCATATGTATGTTTGCCAAGTGCTGCTTGGCCAAAACAGTGTTAAATAAAATTGTAAGAAATGCTACTGAGGCCTTGCATGGGTTATTTAATTCTATCAATGATAAACAATGTTAATGTGTAGCATCTCGGTCCGCACAATATCATGTTTCATTTATATATGCTGAGATATATTTAAGCATGAAAGATCGTTTTCCAACACATGTATTTCCCAGTGATTACTTAGGGGAAGTGTGATAGAAACAGCAGAAGCCTTTCTCTCTCACATAAACCTGCACCCTGCAAACACAGATTGCCAGTCACACTTAGTCACACGGTCAGCCAGCCATGTTCATATTTTCATATACATGCCTTCACAGGTAAATGTAAATGTAGATTTTAGAAATGGAGATTCAGATTTCTGTACTGGTACACGATTCCAGATACATGTAGCAGCACACCCAGGCAGCTTTTCAAAGTCTTTGGTACATTTACACATTTTCACACACACCTGCCTACCCTGCTGCATAAACGGATGCTAACACCAACGTGCTTATCATCCCACATGTGGATATTTATGTGTACACATGTTGGTACTCTCACTGCCAAGTGCTGATGTGCCCGGAAGGATGTGTGCTCACTGAAGTGTGCATGTGCACATTTGCATACACACATGCACACTCTGGGGAGTACACTGACATTCACTGACACACACCATATGGCTACAGAGCAGTGACAGTTTTTGAACTGGGAACTGTGTGTTTGTCCTATGAACCTTGAAGTCTTCAGGATGGGAAGGCTGGAGGATCAGGGTCAAGATGCCAGCCTGTCTACCCTCTGATGAAAATAATATGAAAATGTACAAGTGGGAGAGGGGGTTGGGCAGCTGGTCTCTACAGACAGAGATGCCTCCAAAGGAGGATCCACCTTTTATTTGCTCATTTGACAGATGTGTTAGAGAGCTGTACAGGAGTCAGGATGCCTGATCAGCTTCTCTGGTCCTGATTCTGCTGCCACTTAGTTGTGTGGATCTAGGCAAACTGCTCTCTAGGCCTCAGTTTCCACATCTGTAAATAATGGGCCTGGGGCCAGGTGCGGGGTAGCTCATGTCTGTAATCCTAGCACTTTGGAAGACCAAGGCAGGTGGATCACTTGAGGTCAGGGTTTCGAGACCAACCTGGCCAACATGGTGAAACCCTGTCTTTACTAAAAATACAAAAATTAACTGGGTATGGTTGGGCACCTGTAGTTCCAGCTATTCGGAAAGCTGAGGCAGGAGAATGGCCTGAACCTGGGGGCCAGAGATTGCAGTGAGCCAAGATCAGGCCACTTCACTCCAGCCTGGGTGAAAGAGCAAAACTGTCTTAAAAAAAAAAAGAATGGGACTGGATGGGCAGTTCTCAACTTTGGATGCACAGTGGAATCATCCAGGGAGCTTTCAAAAAATAGAGATGCCTGGGCTCCACCCCAGACCAGTTAGATCAGCATCTCTGGGAGGTGAGTCCCTAGTATCTTACTATTTTTTTTGTAAAGCTCCCCAGATGATCCTGTGTTCAACCGAGGTTGAGACCCACCGGCCGAGACGGTCTCCAAGGCTCTTCTAGACCAAAAGCTCTATGCCTTGGAGGACTCTCTATACAAAAAACACTGTGCTGGGTACCAGGGCACCCTGCTGAAACACCTACATTTACTTGTACAAGGTCATTAAAAGCTATTAAAATTATTCTTCCTTCAGTTTAGGCAAAGAATAATTTCAAACAAAATATATTTAGCCTGGAAACACTCATACTTGCATTTCCAGCTCTCTTTCTGTGTCTGTTTCCTTTCCAATTTATCTCTCTCTGACTCACTCATCAAACATTAATTATATGCCACATACAAATACTATACGTGGGGACCTGCTAAATGTG